CCCCAAAACCCCAAAACCCCAGCATTCCTAATGAAATGATAAGAAGTTAAATTAACTAATAATAATTATAAAATAAGATAATGTCAAATTACATTTTCAGTTTGGGAGATACTCTTTTCACTCCAAATGGTGTTTAGTATAGATTTGGCATGTGGTTTTGGACATACTGGCCTAGGAATTCAGGAGATGATGCCTTGTATTTTCTGAGGAATGTGCTCTTTCACAATTTCTAGAATGTAAGTTGGCATTCAATGAGATAAGTACCAGTCACACATTCGACCAGATATGCAATGTTAAAGGCAATAGTAAATGATGATATTGAAATGATCAATCAGTGTCTAGATCGGGGCTGGGACATTAATGCGATTCTTGATATTGAAGGAAAATTTAACGCAGCTAGTCTAGCTGCCCATCTTGACAAATTAGAAATCTTACATTATTTAGATATGAGAGGAGCCGACATTAATAGTGCTGTGGGCAAGCATTAGCAGACTCCTCTTATGACAAGTATGATGAGTTGGAATGTCAGAATAATTGACTATCTAATGGAGAGAGGTGTCGACCCATTTATCAAAGATTCATATGGATTTACTGCTTTAAGGAAGGCTCAAATAAAGTAGTTTAGAACTATATCATCTATGCTTTAGCAATATGAGCAAAGATTTTAAAGCAGGCAAATTAGCTTTTTAAACTCCATAACAACTGATAAATGGCATAAAGAACTTGAAAATGTTGATATTACTAAATATAAAACATTTGCCATTCACAAGGGAAGTGAAAGTACATCAATGGGAAAATTCAAGCCCTCTGATTTTCTTACGTCAGGGACATATCCCTTCTCTAACTTAGAAGATAACTCGATCGTGTTTAAATTCATTAATCATAACTTCATATTCTTCAGATCAGGTGATGAAAAGTTGGTTGCTTGATGAATGACTGTGCATGCTTTTGTTAATAAAATTAATTTAAATTAGCGATAGTTAACAATGTAATTATTCTCATATTTCTTGTTGAGATTATTAGTGATTTAATAATGCATGTGTTTATGGTTAAAAATTAATATTTTTTTGCTTTTGCTTGCTAATTAGAAATATAATGATGTGATCAATAATTAATTTTCAAAGTCATTAAAATAAAATGGAATAAAAATCAGACATTAGTATGGATGACATATCCAAGAAAACTCCAAAGCAGTTCCTTCAGTATTTCCACGACCATGATGTGTCTAAAAGTAAATGTTTAATAGAGAGAGATGCTTTAAAGCTTTGCATTGGCTACTATGAGATGGGGTAATAAATAGTTTTGATATTTTTAATTTGATTTTAGAACATGTTAAGCTTTTAAGGAGGCATTTAAAATTTGTTTGAAGAACAATGGCTTTTAATTATAGTGAGGGATGACAATTACCACTTAACTGATAGAATAAATTATATGATTGTAGCGCTATTTCATGATTTATTGATTAAGTTAAATTTCCACCTGATAAAATTATAATAATAATATTTTAATATTTAATTTGTTTAAAGAAAGTAGTACGATATATTCGCATGGGATAAGTAGAAGTAGTTCAAAATAACAAGTTTTTTCATCAACAGCCTCTGAGAGTTGAAATCAATTTTGGGCATAAGATACTGCCTTAATACATGCCAGTCATTAATTGTAAGTATAGCTCCTACTAATCGATAAAATTAGGGCCATTGAATAAAATACGAACATTTTATGATTAGCTGAAGAAAATAAGTGGTTCTTTTTACTTTAAGTATATCACTTTGCGAACATTCTAAGAACTGCTGAAGAATGTGTTTCACCCCTCATTAACTTAGAAACTTTTCATGAATTTTGATATAAAGGGCTGATAATGACTTAATATCATCTAATTCCTTTGCGCTCTTATTTGGACTTCATATGCTTCAAAACACCAAAAGATAAATTGTAAGTTAAAATCTATAATTTCAATCACCCGCAAACTAAGAAAACTTACTTTTATTGTAGTCATTTTTAGAATATTTGATTTCGACTTAAATGGCAATCTAACAATAGACGAAATGATTCTGATTTTCCTGAATACAGTAAAATCCTTATGCATATTAACAGGAACATACACTTAGCTTCCAAAAGAAAAACATAAGCTGGTTTAAGCTGGTCAGAAGATTTTCAAGCAGGCTGATGTTGATAATAGTGACAGTTTATCAGTAGATGAAATCAAACATTGGGTAGAGAGTAGGAAAGTATTTGTTGAATTTATTGAAAGATTTGAGCCTAAAACCAAGATATACTATGAACCGTGGATTTATCAGAACTTCCCTGAGATTAAGATTAATGAAATGAAAAAGGAACCACTTAATACAATGGGTACGCTTGAGAATATCATGAAGGAAACGTTCTCAGTTAAACAGAAGCAAAGAAAGAAGGTTTTCAGGCATTTCATTAAGTCTTAAGAAACTATTGACCCATTGGATGATAATAAGTAATTGCCAATAATATTAGACCGAACGAGAAAATCTATAAGTATCTTTCATAAGACATCTACAGTCATAGATTTAAAAGCAGTAAATCTTTTAAAATGCAACTCTATTTTTTCAAATAATAATGAGTAATAGTTCTATTTTTATAAATTTATATAGTATTTTCAATGAGAGGCTCTTAAGTATGTAAAAAAAGTAATCAAATATTGGATCAGATGTGAACTTAATTGACAATAATGACTTTGGAGTAGGGTAATAATAGCAGCATCTTTTGATGACTCAAAAATCAAGTGGAATTAACTTTGGTGGAGGTAAAATATAGTCTCCTGGTGGTTTTATGACTCAGAGAAACAAATCATCAGGAAATATGTTTGCTGGTAGAAGGTAATATCTTGCAGACAACAAACACAAGATTAATGTTCTTTGCATTGTAAGTATATAATAATCTTATTCACTAATTTAAACTCTTTGTATAGCAAGGCAGAACATACTCCAAGAATGACATCATTGAGCTCAAAAGGTTTTACGATATTATGGACAGAGAAAACAAAGGATTTATCACTTATGAGGACTATGCTAGGAACTTCAAACTAATGTCAAACTCTCAAAAGCATGCAAAGAATGTTTTTGAAACATTGGATAAAGCTAAAAAAGGATAAATTAGTTTGGAGTAATTTGTAAGAGTGAGTATCCCTCATATTCAGGACAAAGATCTAAGAGTTGTGTTTGAATGGATGAAGCAACCAAACAAATACAATGAGGGTTTCGTTTTATAAAGTGCGCCGAGAGTGTAGCCTGCAAGTCTAAGCAGATCACCAGCTAAAGAATCTGATAAATTTGCATCATTAAATGCCTAATTAAGTCTGTAAAAAGTAATCCCAAAGTAAAATGTCAAGGAATTTTTAAGAATTTTTGATATTTACAACAAAGATAAGAGTGGATAGATGTCCATAGAAGACTTGAAAAAATTCCTTATGGACACCTACTAGAAAGAAGAAGTTGTTGAATAAGTGCTACAGAGGAAATTTCTTCACTGGGGTTTCAACGGTTCTCCAAATTATAAAGCATCTCTCACTCACACAGCTTCATTAGTTAACTTTGAAATTGAGCCGTTCGATTTAGGCTAAAAAAACACGAAGTTAAGAATGAACACTGTGACTCAATGGAATACGACAAGGTAATAATAAGATTTTGGAGAAACTAATAACAACATGAATGATGATGAGCGCAGTGACTTTAGTGAAATAGTTGAGAGATAATATCTAGAAAAGTATAATAAAAAATAGGTCGTTGACATAGAATAATTTTTGTCAATCATTGTTCCACCTGATGGTTACATTTCAACTAACGCAATGAATAAAATCAGGAAGAGCTATTAGAAGAGACTAATAATGTACTAGAAAAAATAAATAGATAATTTGAAAATAAAGATTAGACAGGCTAACAAGCAAAAAAATATTGTCTATACTGGTAACCATAAAGATGAGAAATCTGTTATTCGCTAGAACTTTGGTTAGATGATATAATAACGGAAAATTAGTGCTTTTAACCCCTTAGTAATTTATGATGCAGAAAGTAATGAGAACTTAATTGATAATTTATGATTAATTTTTAGTGAAAATGATAATTTATTACTTGATTTTGTCCCATGGGGTTTTGGGGTTTTGGGGTTTTGGGG